TTATTAAAATCATTCCCATCTACAGTTTTTAATTTTTGGCATAAAGTTTATTTTAATGGTAATTGTGTTAAGATTGAAATGTTTCGGATTTTGAATCCTCTAACTTGGTAATCATTAAAGTTGAATAAGTACTTGCAGATAATGTTATGTCGGTTCATGACGAACAATTTTCATTCACAACATTTCTTCTAAACCCTTTTAGTTATATTTTTAATATTTTTTTATCCAAGAGCACTTTATCAGTATAGGCTACTCCAGTTAATTTTCTGATTGTTGTTGAAGTGGATGCAACAAACAGTTATAAAAGCGTTTTTATTAGTTAGAATTTTAGAGTTAGCAAAAAGCGCATTGTAACGATATAGTCAATCATGAATTATTATTTTCTCGGAAAGACTGAAAATTGAGTAGAGCTGCACGTAGTCGAAAACGATGTATAAAATTTCCTGGAAATACCGAACAAAAAGTTTTTGAATCCATTACCTGCATAAAAGTTTATAAAATTGTTAGTAACTTTAATAACAAAATGTATTAAAATTAAATTCATATTTAATTTAAAAGTGATATTTGATTTCTCCATTCATTAAGTATTTTGCTTGCTTGTATGATATCTTTAGCCAAACCTTTCAATTGAGAAATAAACCAGTCTTGTGAACTAAAATAAAAAGATAAACGTCTGGTTTGGCAAGATTTCGTACCCATTCATTCTCTAAATTGTATTTACAATACAACGTGGGCGGCTCTCTTACATTTCACCAAAATAATCAATTATACTTTCAAATTGTCATAAACGCAAAGGCGTCAGAAAGTGGATATGACTTACAATGATTGGAAGACAACATTATGTGCAACAGTCGCATGTTTCTGACATACGGTTATTTTTGATTTCTCGATTTCTCCACATGTGACTCGTAACGTTTGCAATCATTCGTTCGTGCAAATTGCATGTTAACTTGTTTTCGTTCTAATTTTGATTATTTCAACGCGATGGAAAGAGGTCGCTTCAATATATTCGGCTACAGTCCATCTATTTATAAATGATATACAAAATAATATTTCATCTTTAGTTTGATGAAAATGTCTGATTAAACAATAAATATTTTTAATTCAGTTATTCTTAGTTTTGGGAAACGATAACAGATTCAAAGCCGCTATAATAATTTTAACGATTCTATTTTTAGTTAAACGTAAATTTTCGGCTCCTTTTTGCTAGAAAAAAGCTCGTTAGAGAGTAATAAACAAGTACAAAAAGAACGAAAACTCTGGGCTTATTAAAACTTTGGGGAATTTACGTAATCAAGCGGTAATAGAGTTAAACGAACTGTCGATCAAACCGAAAAAATTGATGCAAACGTATTTTTAAATTAAACCCGTTTAGTATGCGGCTTTCATAAACGAATCATATTTTCGATGGCTGCAATAAGGGAAGAGGGATGACGAGTGTTAGTACTTTTATTTCACCCCATTTTTTCTCTTTTAAGAAAAAATGCTAAAGTAATTAAGTGCTATAGATTTCTAGATTCGGAACACGATTTTCTATTTATAGTGCCCTCATGTTTCTTTAATCAGTCACCTGCGTTAAATAGGGCCATTGCACTAGATTTCGACTTTATTATTTGGCTGATTGGTGGCGATTCGTGACCGGACTACAACGCAACAATAACAAGCGGGTTTTAATTCCAACTTCGCTGAAAACGCCTGATACCGAGGTTTTGTTGATAGCGGTCACATTTAAATTGCTGATAACAACCAACGATTTCAGGTTAGTTACTATGATAGTGTGATATTTTTAAAAACGGAAATTCTGATAAGTATATGGAAATTTTTTTACACTCTACTATTGCTGATAGTTTTTATTTATATAAATATCAATAAACGGGAAAAAATTGAATGTGATTTTTACTTTTATTCAAAAAAAAAAATAAGGAATAACAGAATAGTATTTCGAGTTGAGGCATACATGATTCTGACTCCAATATAGATGCAAATAATCTTCATTTCCATACAAGAGCAAAGTGTAGTTACCTAACGTAATGATTACGATGCAATATTGAAGTGTTAAAATTATGTGAGTTTGCTCTTTTTACATTTATACCCATATTAACATTAAAACTTAGTACCCAATAATTTCTAAACACAATTTGTCATCATTGATTGATACATTATCAGTTTCTACATTACAGGTATGATATTTGATGTAGGGTAAATTTGTTTTATTATGACCCTAACGTAATATAAACATAATTTTATCTGTATATTTTGCTGATCCAGGAAAATGCAGATGAGAAGATAACAAAAAAGTGCAGCTTTTATTAATGTTTTTTAAACGTTTTATTGCGTGAGTGTAAATATGAGGATTAGCCGAATAATTTTTAAGTGCTTTTACTCTTTCAAATAAAAAATGTGTTTTTGCATTTATAAAAAAAACCTTTTAGTGTTGTGACCTTTACATTAAGCGGATTGCATTTTAAAATTGGTTGTTGAATATGTATGTAAAATATGAATTTTTATGAAATTCAATGTCAATCTAAATACCAAATACCGTTTATTTTTGTTTCTGTAAATCAAAATAAAATAGCGTTATTATTATTTCTAATATACATTATCTATCATTAAATTCTATAATATATATAATCTTTATGATATGTAGTAAGCTATTAATAAAAATCATAAAGGGATTTTATGTATATAAGGTTGGAAAAAGTTCTATTTATTCTGATAATAAATCCCGAATTTCGTTGATATTCCACTTATAGTGCATAAGTGTAATATGACGATGAACGTTTTTTGGCATCTAAGACAAAATAACGTTTGTATAAATGAGAAATAGTGCAAGATGGCTACACACTCTTCATTTGACTTCTGCTATTCATCACAAACCATGAGACACCTGTATTACTAGTGATAGCTGAATCTTTACATTACCCATTGATGCTACAACCCCTGTAGAGCCTCGGTTTCTGGAGCTTCCTGTGCAGGTGCTGGAGGTTAAAGTATGCTTTGTTTCTAGCCTTAATTCTTTCCTAAATCTCCAGCCCATTTTAATTGTTCTCTGTTAAGAGAGTATTTGCCGACAGTGAACGGTTGCCGCATTCCTTCCTCTAGACATGAGGATACATTGTGTCTTATTCTCGTTAATATGGAGTCCTCAACTCCCATTTTATCTTCTGCAGCCACGTGCTCAGTTCGATTTGTTCCCTGCATTACAATATCAATATCAGTAATTATAATTGTAATCATTATTTATAATTGGATTAATTATTAATTGTATATCTCCACCTCCACTGCAATGCTTATTAATATTTTCCTAAACGTACCAATTTAATATTGTAAATTCCAATGTTGAACAAACCACCTCTTGCCATAAATTGTTTATTAAACTTACCTCTACCCGCTGAACAAGTAGTAGTGGAAAAGTAAATAGTACGAAGTGTATTGAAACTAAATTTCGTGAAACTAGACATATTAAACCAATAGTCTAAAAACCACCGTCGTGGGTTAAATTGACTTGTGCTGCGTTCAGTCTCGGTTATTTGTGAGGATGCAGTGCAATAAGGTTTCTTCTCTATTGCGAGCGCTCCGTTATTGGGTTCATCGCGCATATCACGATATCATATACTTGTTTGGCTAATATTAATTGTTTTTGAGTTAACAATTTAATTAACAACATTTTTGTTTTATTTTTCTGTTTTGCCCTTTTAATTGATTCATTTCAAATTTATATTTTTCCTGTATTCTGGCAAAATAATAACAGTTAATTATTTCATCTCGTGAACTGTTTATTATAATGTGTATATTGTGTAATTGTAAACCTTATACTACTATTATGTTTTAATTCTTCTGTGAATCTGGCATACATAATAACCAAGACATTGTAACTCCACTGATCAATAAATACAAATTAAGTATCGAAAGGTTATATAACGAACCAATTAATTGAACCTTAAATTACCCTAATTGACGATGTTGTTATCTTCGGTGAAGTGTTAAATAATATTCCATAAATTAAACGGTAAAGGAAACTCTTCGAGCACAACAAAATATAATTAGTTGATGTTGCAACGAAAACATATCGTCGCACCAACGCGGTTGTGGAGCGATTTAATTGAAGCCCATAAATCCCTTGAATATTTCGGAGCCCCGGAATATGAACGCTATTACAACGCGAACCGTTTCGCATAACGAGGTCGGTGGCTATGTTCGTGATTAACGATGCCAAAATTGTGAACGAAGAAATGGTCTTATTAATCTCCATTAATCGGTCATCCACATTTCAGAGTTTTAAAAACTGGTTAAATTTACTTTATATAATAACTTATAATCACCGTATATCACTTAAGTGTATACATAAAGTTTATCGATGTTTGAACCTACTAAAACAAGGGTTTTATTTTTCACCACATTTTGTAGTGGAGAACGACATTTTTCGTCGACACTATATCGGATACAAGAGGCTTCGATTATTTGCCCTGCGGGATTTGATTGCCTTTTCTGTTTTTCCGGGAGCTCTTATCGGTTCAGATTGACTGCCTAAGTGACAATACTAGAGTTCAACGGAGTTCGTGAAAATGTTCCTTTTTTGGTTCTTTTTTCTACAGTCATTTGTAATTCTTAATGTAACATTATTTGTTATCTAGAAAATGTAAAGCTTTGTAACTTGACAACCGTATTATCAGAACTATATTGTGAAGATATATAATATTTTTTCTAGTATTTCAAAAATTAACTTGCATGATTCGGTATTTGCGATATGTATACATAAAACGTCCTATTCATAGATGTTTTTGAAAAGTGTTAGAAACTGTTAATTAATTACTCTTTTCATTCGTTTTTATTTATTTTGCATTCATTTTTAGTTTTTGTTCAGATTTCATTCAAAGTTTGTTCAATGTGCCAATATTTTTTAATTAAAGTAAACTTCCATTTAAACTGAAAATGTGAACGATTTTTTATTTTTTGATTAAAAGCTTTATTACATCACACTCTTCTTTATTGTTTTTCAGAAAATAGGATGTGGTGCAGTTTTTTATTAATATTCTTAACTGTACCTACAAGCAACGGAGACACCTACATTATGGGATACTTAACAGGATCTCGTCGATTACCAGGAGATAACCAGTATAGCAGACCTGGACTTACTATTTCTGGAGCTTTAACATTAGCTCGAGATGAAGTAAATAATGGAATACTCGGCGAGAGGGGACATAAATTAGACGTGATCGTCGCGGAAACATATGGCAAGGAGAGAATAAGCGTAAACGAAACTGCAAATTTGCGCATGAAAAATGTTTCTGTTTATATTGGTCCTCAAGAAACTTGCGAACATGAAGCTTTTATGGCTGCAGCTTTCAATCTACCCATGATTTCCTATGTAAGTATATTAAAGAATACAACTTCAAAGATTGAATATAATATGATATTCATACATATTTCCGAATTCTATCAATAGAAATATTATTAAAGTGAAAACAGTTGGTCGAGATAAATAACGTGGACGAGTAAAAATAGGGGAAAAGAATAACTGCGGATATACGAACTGTCGTGAGCACGCGTACTTCGTTTTCTTGACACGTAACGGTATAGAGATAAATTTCATGAGAACGTGTAAAGATATTTTGAAAACTTTGGACCGAATCATTTATTCATTGCTGTAATCATTCTTAATATACATAGACGTCACCAGGAAATATTTTTTAATATATCCCATTTGCATGTACGCTTTAAACCATGTAGAATGTGCATCTATCGATAAAACTTTCTTCGGTAGAAGCGGATATGCATACGTGATAACTTTTGTATTCAATTTCAATTATTAATATTCAGATAACGTTTCAAAGTACTGTTTACACAATAAAAATATTTGATGTATTTGATTTCAGTATTGCACTTTTAACGCGACATCCGATAAGACAAAGTATCCTACCTTTGCGAGAACTCGACCACCTGCTGGATCAATTTCCAAGTCTGTAGCGTCCGTATTGAAGACATTTAACTGGACACACGTATGTACTCTCTTTACATCGTTTAATATACATAATATAAATAATGTTAGTATCCAAAGAATTTTTAAATAATCTTTAAACCGCTTAGATCGCGCCTTTGAAGTATTTATTAAAAAGGGGAAGTAAACGGTTTAATCAGATATGTTAATTAAGTTTGGGTTTTAATTAAAATTCCGTCGGTTCGATCAAAGTTCTTATATGTCTTAAGTTTATATAAAATCTGTCGTCTACAATAAAAGATTAGTAAATGTTTACTCACTGATTAATTTAAAATAAAACAAGATAAGATTAAAATTGAAATTAATGTTATTAATAATAATATAATAAACCTTTACGAAACGATGCAAAAACTTTTATAATTAATTCGATAATGAAATTCCGGATCCTCCACCAAAATTGGCATATAACTGAACTTACAAAATTAAATTAATAACGAAAACATTTCTACACATATATCGTTGAACAATTTAACGGTTTAACACTCACAAACAAATAACAAATTATATTCTCTTGTCTAAGAGTTAAATGAGTTAGCAAATCAGCTGCACAATTTTTAAAGTATTTATTTTTAGTTCGTATCAAGAAAGATAGAAGCTGCAAATTCTGCGTACGTTTGATTCAAATTTAAAATTCGTATGACATGTTCTAACCCTTCATTATTAAATGACATGTTTGCAGACTGTATTCTTTAAATGTAAGATTTAACACTTGTTTTCCATAATATTCAGGCATGATAATATGAAATACTCTGATATCTGAGTGTTGATTCGTTAAGAATATTAAACCGGCTGTCAATTTAAAAAAAAAACAAAGCTGAAATCTACAAGGCAAAAGTTTTTCGTTTTATTCTGTAAATTTTACATAAAGAGGAAAATTCTTTATTCATGCAATGAATATAAAGAAATAATAGAACTCCATTAGAACAATTCAGTTTCGTATACAAAATGAGGTTGGTGAGTTATTTGTAATTATCACTTTGGACTAATTATTAATTTTTAAAATTCAGCTATTTATAGATTTTAAATAGGAAAAATGCTGGTTAATTATTATTAAAAAATTTCCTTAGAAGGAGGAGGTCGAACGAGAAGTTCGCGAAACCTAATAAAAGATATTGAATACTTTTGAAAGCGGTCGTTATTACATCCTTGTTCTTTTAAAACCTTAAAATAAACCTTAATTAAAATAAATATAAAAATAAATAAGTTTTTCAATTTTTAGAATTTTGTTATTTTCAGGTAGTCCTTTTGTATCTGAAAAGCTCAGATACGGAATTTGCACATATAGCATCAACGATATTACATTCCTTACATTCCATAGGTATAACTGTTGTACCTCATTTCTGGGAGAATCCATTTTTGATGCGCTACGTTGATAACCCTTTTCACAAGTTAGTCGAAGATACGTATCAGGATACAAGAAGTAAGTTAAAGAAATACTAAAATTTTGTTTATGTCAGGTGCTGTTTGAAAAAGTTTTCTTCTAAAAGTTTCGAGTTTTATTATTGAATCGGAAAGTTGTGTCATAAGCCTTTAAGCTAGATTTGGTTTTACGATATAGAGAAATGCACACAGGTTGCAACCTCAGAACGGACCTCCGACCGAGATTTTACGAGCGTGCAATTCAATTACCGACGTAGACTGGTAGCGAACGAAAACGGCAGTAAAATGTAAATGGCCGAAGTTGATTTTGAATTACAATTTCTTTACGTAAATAGCTGTAACTACTAATGTTTGGAATCTATCTGCCAGAACATTTAGGGCTCATTTCGAAACGATTTATTACCGATATAGTAACTACTAGATTTCCTCGTCTTTAATACTCTTTAATGGATAACAAAATAAAATTCGAACTAAAACTTTTTCACTGAATCAATCTAGCCTTATTTGATTTTTATCTGTAATTATGTAGGTTACATTAACGGTTTTGTTTTGCTTCAGTTTATGTTATTCTTGGGTTTTATTACGAGTATGTGGGATTAATGATGGCAATGGACGATAAGAAGTTATTCGATAATGGTGAGTTAAATAAATGTAGCGATTACAAATAAACTGTAGGTGTGTATCAATTTCCCAATTACCACGCATAGAACGTTGGTATTAGTGTAGTTTGCATTGAATTCCAGTTTTAGTACAAATTCCTATATTGCGTTGGTGTTCAACAAGCCAAGTGCATTCTATCATGAATGTTTGCGTTCCAATCTAATCAAACTATTTTTCTTACATATTAATTCAAGTTTGATTTAATTAGAAATCTAATTTAGATTCGAAATACTATAATTTTAGTCTTAAACATAACACTTTCGTCGGTTCGATTTCCGGTAGCTATTTTCAATGGAATTTAGCTTTAAACCTCGTTTAACCTAGTTCTGTCGATTCTCGTATTTCCAGCTATTACCTGTTAATAACGTCGAATCTTTAGTCTTGATTTTCGGATTTAATGTGAGATTTAAATTAATTGGGTTCTTGATAAATTAACAAGATCTTAAAACTTCATGACGGTTTTAGGAGAATACTTTGTTGTTGGTGTTCATATCGAACAATATGCACCAAAAGCTCCCGCAAGATACTTTATGGACATGTTGAAAGACGAAGTTATACCACAAGCCGAAAAAGCTTTTCAAAGTTACATTGGAATCGTTCCTACGAGTCCTATAGGGTTTAAAAACTTTACTAGATTAGTCAATAGGTATATGGAAAAAGAACCATTTCGATATCCAAATCCAGCTGCCGAAGTTGGAGGACAAAAAGAGGTAGATGAATATATTTTGTTATTTTATTCGTACTAATTTTTAATATTAGATAGGATCAGATGCTGCATATTTATATGACGCGGTTCATATTTATGCTAAAGCTTTAACAGCGGTAATGGATTCCGGTGGAGATGTCTTAAATGGAACGGCAATCATCAACAGCATTAAGAAAACGCGATATAAAAGCGCTATGGGGTAAGTTTCAAAAGTATTCGTTAATTCAGCAGGAACGATAGAAAAGTTTGTGCGTAAAGTTTTAAAAAGATTTTGAAACACTAAATTGAACACCTTTTCACTCAATTTATAGTCATATTTCCCTTTTTCCCGGCTTTATCGTGAAGAATGTGAATTCACTTGATTAAAATAAAGTTTTACCAACGAACTAAACTTTCTAAGTGGGTTTATTACATCTGTAATCCAAAACAAGATATCTTAACTTTAATTTCCATGCAAAACTTTGTAACTTAGTAAAATTTAATTTGATTCTTTGTTAAAACGGACAATTAAGACTGCATTATCTAGTTTGAGTAGTTTGAAGGATAGTTAATAATGACATAATCGATTTATTACTCAGCAGTTACTCGCATACATCTATTACTATTCAATTAAGTAACAAACTCAATTAGGTATGCGAAATTTAATAGGACTATCTATCAAAATGTCTTGCGATGGTTGTGTTTAACATACTACATTTCATTATTGTAGTTATATGGTCAATATGGATGAAAATGCCGATGCAGAGGGCAACTATACGGTTATTGCCAGGAAACGATTTGAAAACTCCGGAATGTATGGGTTATTTCCGGTTGGAATTTTTGCTCTTCCCAATGGCAACGATAAACTACCAGTAAGTAGCAAAATTTGGAAGCATTATTTTCATTTGTAAGACGATTATTTCTACGTTGCAATGAGAACCAATTTGGGATGGATATTTCTAATTGTTTGTATGTATAAGAACTAGAATTGTTTGATTTATACAGTTTATCTAAATATTTATCTACACTAACAAAACTTTAACTTAATTTGCTTTCTTACCCGTAAAAATAGGTTCTATATTTTGAAATTAAATTTTAATTTTTTAGTTGATTCTATTTAACGATGTTTGACTTTATTACCAGTAAAATAAGTTTTAAATGAGCAGATAGTCTTCACGATTTGTTAGAAATAAAACTTTTATCAAATCGTAAACGCAAGCTGCTGTCTTGCAACTGTTAAACGTACTCCAAACTGAACGGCATTTCTGGAACGTGACTCGTTTAATTAAATTTTTGTCGAGGCAGCTTGAAAGAAAATAAAACAAGCACTATTTTTACTAGTCTTTTATATGATACCTACATTTTTTAATTATACCATTATATAAGGCTATTAAAATTAAAAACAGATTAGATGATTGAAAGCACTTCTAGTTAAATGTTACTATCGTTGGAAATTACCTCGAATCAGGACAAACAATTTCACATCTTTTCTAGGAACTCAACTACGTATACATACGTATACACAATTTTCTTACCTTCAACAAAATCAGTAATGAAAGATTTGATAAGGCAACATTAGATGAAAATGATTATAAGTGTTTGTGTTAGTATGAATATGATTTAGTTTAATGTCCATTACTAATGTTTTAATATCAATTTAATATAATTCAAGTAATGTTAGCTTCTCGTAATGAGTTGCCGAGTACAAAATAAAAAAAAGAATAAAAATATCTTCATGTCATCGCTCAACAAATCGTTGCGTTTGCTGCACTCTTTAATAGAGAATATTATTATGTTCACCATTTAATTAGTAATCTGGCTTGGCTTGAATAAACCTTATTTTTTCGAAGAAGCATCACAAGGTTGCAGATGTTGATGCTCAGAAGAAGATGGCCAGTAGTAGTTTTGTAGAACATAATACACATTAGTGCACTGATTAGTGCTTATGTTACATAGATTTATCTAAATAAGTAGTTATGAAAATAATTGATTACTACTGGAAAATGCGGATGAAGAAAACTCAAACTTCTAGATTTCTAATAAATATTATAAGAATATTGAGTCACTATTAAAATTTAATTGCATTAATTTATTATATTTTTTAATTAATTATACTAATTTATCATGGGGTTAAAATTTCCTCTAGAACCGATACTACAAATACTTGTCTAGATAAGTGATTGGCACGTCAAGCAATATGTAACTCGAGGTTGAACTGCGTTCGAAAAGAATGGTTTCCGTCGAACGTTTCCAAGTAAACATATTGCATTCGTAGCAAGAGTAGACGATTTGTCCACAAAATTGAATTTGTGTTGGCATCTTTTTCTATTTCCTTCTATTCTCAACACGATTCTTATCCAATAAGAAAATAGATATTGAATAACCAAAACCCTCAGCGTACATAAGAAGTCGTACAATTTTCAGTTCACGGGCCATTTCGTTTCAGTGCACACCATTGAAACACAGGTACATACTCTTTAATCTAAACCGGAGCCGAGTTAGTAAAAAACCTTTTTATTATCAGTGGAGTTTCGCTGCGCTTTTACACGGGGGAACATCGCATAAAATTGCGTTTAATTACAGAATAGCCTTTGAGCTATTTTGAAAAAGCGTGTTTGTAACTTCGAAACCATTTAACGTAAACTCATTTAAATCAAATCGAATTAGCCGGCATTTTCCTACCAGTTTATTCGCGATATTTTCCATAGCGAATTTGATGTTATGGTCATATAACACAAACTATGCAGAAAAAATAAAAAATGCTGAAGTTGAAAGCATCGTGTACAATTTCGAAACATTCGCATTATTAAAGTTTAAAGAGGCAAAAGACTCTGTAAGTATAATTGAGTTTACAATTCCTTGTAGAAGTCTGTGTATACCGAGACGATGAACGACTTTGTTCTGCAGCTGGTCTTGCTGGCAGCTAGTGTATTACATGTAAGTGACCCACTTTATCCTTATTCAATGATCTTGAGTAAATGACTGAGCTGGAAAATCCTTTATCAGACTTCGGCTCATGGCGAAACCATCTCTCTAATTCCGACTAAAACAGAACAAATTAACTTGCTGAATAATGTACAAGAAGTTTTTGAAAGAATCCAAGATTTAGTGAAGGAAGAAGTCCACGAAACAGAAAAATCTGTTATTCAAGATATCGAAAAAGTTGCTGAATTTGGTGTAAAATATTTAACGATTTTAGAAGAATTAGCCTTATCTAGTAAGCATATATTGTTAAAAATAATTTTAATACTTAACTAATTTCTATTTTTTTTAAGATGTATCATGTAAAGGAACTTCTGAATGTGTAAATAGTGTAATATTTTTGATCCAAGAAAACATGGAGGAAGGTAAATTGCGCGTGAAAGAATGTGTATTCACGACAAAGGAGAATATAGAAACAAATTCAATCTCAATAAGTAACTCTAGCGACTTTACTATCGAGAACGTTAAAGATTTTTTCGCAAAACTTTCGCTGTGTACAGAAAGTAAACCCTTTAAATTAATTGCTTGTTATAAAGCCGTAATTGATAAAGATGTTTTACCTCTGAAACATATCCTTTTAAAGGCATCGGATAATCATGCATCGGAATACTACAAATCTACACAAATCCGTCGAGATGCAATTAAATGTATTGATGATATTATGATATTGTATCGTGAAAAAATTGATGACATTTTGAACCAAAATTCTTATTGTAATGAATTGTAATAAATTTATTAATTAAAAATGATGTTTAATTTAATTTTAAGTTATTATGAATAAAATCAAAATTTGCTGATAACAGGTAATTTTATAATATACAAAATTTCACTTGCTACCTCAAAATTAGTTTACTTAAAGTTTCATAAACAGAAGGAGTTGCAACGCAAGGTTTATTAACCTTGTTTGTAATTACAAACTTTGGGAAACTTCTGAAACGTATTTTCAAGTAAAAATGTTTATTTTAGAAGTTTTTTTAATTAATATAAACTAATTTTTAATAAAATATCTTTTTTTTAATTCCAGATTTTAAGATTATTTTCCGAAATAGATTGGGTAGCAAAAAAACCTCCTATTGCTATACCAAAATGTGGTTTTCGCGGCGAAAAGTGCGAATGTAGGTTTAAAAAGCAGATCTTTTTAAAATTTTCTATATTAAAATTTTTTTTATACTGCAGCAAAAACTGCGGAAATTTTAAGTTATATTCTTGGAGGAATATTTTCAGTCGTCCTCGTACTTCTCTTCGGTTTATATCGGAATTGGACATATGAGAAAGCATTGGACAGTTTATTGTGGAAAGTGGATTTCAAAGACATTCAAATGTGCGACGAAATGAAGCAGATTGGAACAAAGCTAACAAGGGTGAGTGGATTTAAAGTGGGTAATCTGCAATTGTAATTCACGATATTGAATTTCGATTCTTGTAACACCCTTACGATATCTAGTTTGTCTATTTTCTTCTTACGAAAAGAAGTTTTGAATTTATTGAACGGTTCAAAGTTCTGAAGAGGATGTCGTTTAGGTCGTTAAATTTATGAAAACTTCGTTTGTAAAATCGCATTTTCCTCGTACCTACGCTTTAATATTTTTATTTATTTTCAGGCGTTACATCCTATGATGAGAACTAGTCAGGTGTCTCTTAGTTCTAATCCAGACGCTGATTTTCGTTATTCCTCAATTTATACACAAATTGGAATTTATAGAGGACGTGTTTTCGCTATTAAGAAGATTCACAAGAAATCAATAGATATAACGAGAGAAATGAAAAAAGAGTTAAAAATGGTAAATTGTTACAGTCTTTTATTTTAATCTTTGTTGATGACAATTGTTTATTTTGCACCGTTTATCCTGGTGTTTTCTAGATAAGGGATTTGCGGCACAACAATCTCAACGGGTTTATTGGAGCCTGCACAGATCCTCCCAACATCTGCATAGTAACCGAATACTGTACCAGGGGCAGTTTAAAGGTAAATCCAACTTTTCCCAATATCGAACTTTCCTTTAAACCGCCAACACCAAACTTTAATATTTACCAAATCGATCCTCTTACCCCATCTATCGCAGGACATTCTGGAAAATGAGGACGTCAAGCTGGATAATATGTTCATCGCGTCCCTAATTGGTGATATTCTCAGGGTAAGTGCCGATGTCAAGAAGTTGTGACCTCTTTAAACTATTTTCTATGCATACGCAAACTAACAAGCAATTTTTTTTTTCTTATAATATCGATTTCCGATTTTTTTAAAATATTGTATAGGGGATGATCTACCTCCACGACTCCCCAATTCGCTTTCACGGTTCACTCCATACGGGGAATTGCCTGGTGGATTCTAGATGGGTGGTGAAGTTGGCCGACTTTGGTTTGCACGAGTTTAAAAGAGACGCAGACGATCCTAGTTTGAAGGACCATTCAAAAATTCTCGAAAAATACAAAAGTAAGCTCCATTTCACTTTACTTTTCTACCACAATTTCTAGCATTTTCCCCGTTTTATACTATACAGTGTTACTATATCGAGCTCCGGAATTGTTGAGAACTTCCGGACATTATATGCACTCGTCACATCCTGTTGGTTCTCAGAAGGGAGACGTCTACTCTTTCGGTATTATCCTCTACGAATTATACGGCAGGCAAGGCCCATTCGGTAATAGCAGTCTATCCTCGGCGGAAATTCTAAACAGAATCATCCACTGCGTATCCGTACCTTTCAGGTAAGTTCTGGAATCTGTTTTAATCAACTCCTAATTACTAACTTTTGATTAATAACATAGTTAACTACAATTTAATTCAAATATCATTTTAAACCCTAAATTCAACTTTAAGTTTATTTTAACGAGATAACTAGAAATATCAATATAATAATAATAATAATAACTTTATTCAGGCTTCATCAAGTACAAAGAAACTTAAAAAAAATATTATACATATACAAAGGTAAAGAAAATGATAAGTACATGCCTAAGTAAAATAAAATACATTAAAGCCTAAATTTAGGCGGAGTTCAGGTAACACCTCAATTATAATTAACTATATTTCCTATAAAGGAAGCACTCCAAAGTAGATAATCAATACCATCTTATTTCTCCCGTTTCAAAATCGTAACTGAAACGAAGGATTTTATTTAGAAATATACTCGGAAGCAATTATTTCTTATCAATTTTTTACGATCATATTGCGGTTTATGTATTTACGCAGGCCTCCGTTGGAAGCTTTAGAAAATAGCTTCGACTTTGTGCGGGAATGTCTCAAAGAATGTTGGAAAGAAGATCCAGAAGAAAGACCAGATTTCAAAAGCATCAGAACGAAATTAAGACCGCTTAGGAAGGGCATGTGAGTATATGAACCCTACGAGTTAAATTGTTAGAAAGTCCGTTTTGGCGAGTCCTTTTATGTTACCCCTCCGTTTATCTTTTCACCCTCGTTCAGCGTGGAACGGTCACTCCGGCAAAGTAGAATGTAATATCTCATAAAAATTATTTCTACGCTATATTCGAAGTAACAGTATTTTAATTACGAAGCTTAAGACTAATGCGGTTACGATATTAAACCATTATTTGTAATCATAGTAAACGTTTTATTGTGCTGATTAGTTATTACTATATTTATTATATACAGGTGACTCAGGGATAATATCATATAATATTAAAAAAAATTTAAATCTGTAGAATTTTTAACAGGCTGCATCTCCTAAAGCGTCGATATTGTTACGTTGGTGTCCAATTCAGTTATTTCTCATTCTCTCTGAGTCACCCTCTATGAAATAATATCATGGCGATCGAATATTATTATTATGAAATCCTTTATAAACCAAATATTCAAATTATTAATTGACATTAAAAAAAGCTTCATTTGGTAATAAAATATTTGTGGAATTTATTCTCCTGGATCAAAAAATCGAAATCGACGGTCAACATTCAATGAATCAACAGTCAATGTTTTGTACTTGAATAATACAGTAGAAAGTAGAAGAAATTAGAAGGCAAAGTGGAAGACATAATGATACCATTACAAATTAACAAAGAAAACCTAAAAGTTGTAATAGCGGCTGGTGGAATCCTATGGTAGATTCAGGTATGGGAAAAGATCCATAAAAAGTCAAACCAAAGGTAATTAAGGCGACAGAAGTTATCATGAAGAAGATGGAGAGGAAGAGATGATATTCTGAAAGAGGCAATAGGGCTAAATGTCAAAATTTGATGTAATTGGTCTGGTAGAGATTTGAGTGGATAAAGTATACGTATGCCTCCTTAGTCGCTCTTCTCCCTGCTGATATTGAATACTCTATGCGCTATCTAGCGACTCTCCTCTTCCTTATTCTGCATTCTATCATCAAATATTTTCTTCTTATTATCACTCTTCTGTGAGTTTTTTTCTCCCACCTCTTCGATTAACTCAGTGAAATTGGTTGAATATGTACAAATTGCTGGCACCTAAGAAGACTTTTGCTGTCACCTCTACAATATAAATCACATTTTCTTATCTTTCTTTCCCGTTCTGAATATTGTTTCAATACTTACTTTGTTATTCCTTATCGTATGGAACTCCTTCATTATCAATTTTACCTTTTTGGATTACATCTTTTCTACCACAGATATCATTTAGTCCCACTTTTTATTCTTTTGTAGTATTCAAGTATTTCTTCCAACATTTTGTTTTTAATACCTTGAAGAATGTGGTCTCTTCACATTTCATCACAGACAAATTTTCACCAGTTTTTTGGAAGTACCACATTAATTATTTCCATTAACATTTTTCATTTCTGTCCACCTTTTCTTTAGTACAAATCATTCAAACTGTAAGACGTCTAATAATACGTCTACTAAAGATGCTGAAAGAAACAGGAGACTTGATGACATTTTGTGATTTCCCATAATAACCAAATTATCGTATAATTATCTAGTACATACATCAGTGCTCAAACTAATTTTTATTTTGTTTAGGAAACCTAATATTTTTGATAACATGATGGCAATGATGGAAAAATACGCTAATAATTTGGAAGTTTTAGTCAACGAAAGAACTGATCAGCTACAGGAGGAGAAGAAAAAGACAGGTCAGTAATTATCTCCAATAATGTTATTATTTGAACATAATTACCGACAAAGTACTCCTAGAGGCTCTTTTATACGAAATGCTTCCCCGGCCGGTGGCGGAGCAGTTGAAAAAGGGGAATAAAGTGGAAGCGGAAAGCTTTGATTGTGTTACCATCTACTTCAGCGACATCGTCGGTTTTACGTCAATGTCTGCCGAATCCACACCACTCGAAGTGGTAGACTTTTTAAATGACTTATACACGTGCTTCGACTCCATCATAGAAAATTACGACGTTTATAAAGTAGAAACTATTGGGGATGCTTACATGGTGGTACTATTTATAAAATTGGACTTTAAAATTTGGCCCCTAAATTATTTTATTTTTTAGGTAAGTGGCTTACCTCTTCGTAATGACAATCAACATGCAGGTGAAGTAGCTACACTCTCCCTTCATCTCCTATCTGCTGTAAAAGCTTTCACAATAAGGCACAGACCAAATGAAAAATTAATGCTACGTATTGGAATTCATTCAGGTAGATGTTATTCTGGATTTTATAAATCATCACTTATTGATTATTTTTAGGTCCGGTTTGTGCAGGTGTTGTTGGTTTAAAAATGCCTCGATATTGTTTATTTGGCGATACTGTAAATACAGCTAGTCGAATGGAATCAACAGGAAGTCGTAAATATCTCTTATAATTAATTTTTATTTCCATTTCAATAGTAAACGATCTGTTGTATTTACAGCATTGAAAATTCACTGTAGTAAACAATGCAGAGATCTTTTGACAACCTTAGGAGGATATCATATGGTTGAAAGAGGAATAATTTCGATGAAAGGTAAAGGGGAACTACGAACCTACTGGTTGATTGGTGAAAATGCAAATATGAGATCGTTAAGAAGAAAAGATCGTGAAAATCGACGAACTTTAGCAAGCGGGTTGAAACCGCAGAAAAACGGACAAATTGATAGCAACGGTCATTGTATAATCCCAAGAAGTTCTTTGAAGAATAAAAATCATTCACCAAAAAGCCCACTTGCACGGTGTTCTAGCTTTGAATCCCCAAAAAAATTACGATTCGCCAGCTTTGAATATTTAGAAAACAAACAAAATTATTTGTCAAAAAACCTTGAAGTTCTTAAAGCTGATCACAAAAAGTCCACATCATCTCTAAGAGGAAACTCAATGAATTGTTGCGGAGACTTAAAGACTTGTAGTACATCCTGTCCATGTATAGAAAACTTAGCAAACTCCGCGGCAACATTAGCCCAATCTCAGCTTTCTATGTTATGCCACGAGGAGAGAGCAACCAGGAAAAGCTCAAAATCATCTTATTCCAGCGTCCCCACCCTCTACAGTACATTGAACGTGTTAGAGCTACCAAATGCAGTCTCCGCTCCTGATAGTCCAACCAAAGACGATATGCTCGAAGAAATACATAAGAAAACAGAAAGGGAATTCACCGAACTGACTGTTTACGGCGAATCTGCCCCGTTGCTACAACTTCCCCAACCGATAATCAATTCAACTGTTTAATAATAAAAGAAGAGTAGATGGCTGCTATATTCGAATAATTTTCTAGTCAAATGTTTACCAAGTATAAAACTAAGGCTCGTGTAACATAAAACCGTGGCGTGTGCTGACCGTATACAATCGATGTTGATAATATATACACTTAAATTATACACATTATATGACTTGTTGTATATAATTTTATCGATATTTAATGAAATATATAATATATGGAATGATAAGTAAATTATGTTTATTATTTTTGAGAAACTATAAATATAATTTTCTAACTTTTTTGTTCATTTCTGTTTTAAATGGAATGGACAGTTCTTATTTTTGAATCTCAGCTAATTAAGGTTAGCCGACGATGACGTTGAAGTCAACAAAAATGAAGGCAATAAAAAAAGACGAAATGGATAAAAAAGAATCCAAATTTTAATAAACACAAATAGCTGAAAATGTACCTAAATAAACCTAATAGAAGGCATTGTGCTATTAGCTGCATGTTTTCAGAAACGCCCAAATTTATTGACACTTCAGATGACGCCTCATATTTGCTACGTACCTTAGCAATATATTTTACCTTAGCTACGTACTAAATACTACAGATAGTAGCTATCACAAACAAGCATATTACTTTTACTATACCTGCAGATTGCAAATCATAGCTGTAGAGTATGAGTACACTATAAACCATATTTGTAGACTGAAGAATCCGAGTCATAGCTATGACTATATACAGCGTGTCGCGTATCTTTCGCATCAGAGCGGAAGATCTTTCTCTGATGCGGAAGATACGGGACATTGTATAGTAAACTGTAACTGTAGTCAGCAAACAATAGCTGCAGGGTGAAGACTTGAAACTATAGTTGCATATTCTATCGTAGTTGGAGATTGAGTACCATAACTCCCGATCAGCAGCAAACTGTATTCTAATTTAAGACTGTATACGATGATTACAGACCAAAGACATACTGCAAACTCTATGTGTAAGCTCTTCTTATTAGCTGTGACAAACAATAGCTACAGACTGCAAACTACTGTGTTGTTGCAATGTGCATATAACAAGCCATAGCTGTGTAACTGTATACTGCAATCTATACCCGTAGTCTGCAACTATGTTTTAAACTACGGGCTATAGATTAAGAACTATGTAAAACTGTAGATTATAGCATTATACAGCATATTATTTATATTAAATACGAGCTGCTGACTGTATACCATGATTACAAACTGTAGATTACAGCTAGAAACAACATACTGTCAATTATATCTGTAGACTATAAATGAGAACAACAAATTGCAGACTGAAAATGTCATACTGCATATTGCAAGTCATAACTACAGATTACAGACCATAGCTGCAGACTAAAGACCGCACGGAATCGTAGTTATAGACTGAAGAACGAAAACTATAAGTTCATACTGCATACTGTAAAGCTTAGCAGCCGATCAGTCAGGCAAATATAGACAGTATATAGTCAAGTATAGACAGCAAATTATAACTTTAAACTATGAGTCATAGCTGTAAAATGCATAGGTATACAAATTGCACTCAATAGTTATGACTGCCACAAGTTGAGAATAATGTCAGAGAATAAAACATCACTTTGGGAGTTGGTATCTTAGAATCAAGAAGATCAAGATATTATTAATTATGGTAAAGCTGATTATCTATACACAATCGTCAACATATTCGTCTAACAAGGAAAGTCCATTGAACAACATCGTTGGATTTACCTTCTCATGGTTGTAATGTAGTGATGGTAGATAACAAAGTACTAATTAACATATTATAAGTTACAGCTATTGTTTAACGACTCCATTCCCTATCTTGTAATTATTAGACGAGCTTTGTGCAAAAACTTGCACAAATACAGTAGCAGTGTAACAATTTTACTTTAACAAGAACTTTTCATTAAAAAAACTACAATAATAACAATTTTATTCATGCAAGTCACAACTGCAGATTACAAACCATAGCTGTAGACTAAAGACCGCACGAAATCATAGTTACAGACTGAAGAACGAACACTATAACTTATTCATACTGCATACCGTAAAGCTTTGCAGCCGATCAGTCACTATGAGTCATAAGTATAGACAGCAAATTATAGCTAGTCATGCATCAAAATGCTATAAGTTGCAGAGGATTCAGTAATTACGAAACAATTGGCTGTAAAAAGAAAGGGAGCCGAAGCAATAAATACTAATTTGATTTGAGACAATTGCTTGTATTTCGGTGAAGTGTTTTGATACTCAACGTCAGGAAAAAAAACATCACTTTGGGAGTTAGTATCTTAGAATTAAGAAGATCAACATACACAAAATCGTCAACATACTCGTCCAGCAAGGAAACTTCCTTGGACAAAATCTTTGGATTTACATTTTCATGGTTGTAAGGTGGTGATAAGTTACAGCTTTTGTTGAACCTCGCCATTCCTTATTTTGTAATTACGAGCTTTGTGCAAAATCTTGCACAAGTACAGTGGTAGTGCAACAATTTTACTTTAACAGGATCTTTCACCAAAAATACTGCCATAATAACATTTTTATTCATATTTTTGGTTAAAATACAACACATTGTTATCGATTCATCAGAAATGTTTGATGTTGTTTCTTTTCTCAACATATTTATTATTTTTCATTTTTAAATTGTTTGTCTAAATACTGTCGCCATCTGTGTTAGATGACTAGAATGGTAAAAGTAGACGTCTATGCGTAGTGTCGCTATTTTTCAAAGTGTGTCGCTAGCTGTACGTGCTCGCACGTGGAATGTTTTGTCATACGATAGATGTAGCCACGCTATTACAGTTAGATACGTGTTGCACGCGTTCAAAACATTCAACAGGCTGACGAAACAGAGATCTTTCGCGTTCAGTCGAGGCGAGTGCGATAGCATATCGTGTACGACGACAAGTGCGCGTGTGTTCTTCGCCGATATACGCGCGGTCGCCGTCGAAACGTTCAATTGGCCGTAATCTGTGTTTGTTATTTAAATTGCCCCATAAGCAAAGTAAACAGCGTGTTAAAGTCCGTCTTCTCACACAATCCCAACTTCTTAAGAATACTCGAAAGCGGCCCGCCGGAATTCGAAAACAACGAAAAAAATTTTTAAAATTAACACAATCGAAAAATAACAAAAAAAAAGTAATTGAAAGATGAAATTTAAAAAAAGAGAAACCCAAGACGGTTTAACTTCCCTTTAAAAAGTGCCGCCGTTGATTATCGTTCGCGAAAATCGAAAGTGAAATTGAGTACACTTTTTTGTTTTGGACGGAACAAAACAGGATCAAAAAAAAACAAAAAATAATTTAGTGGACTTTCTACGAAAGTGCGGATGCGTGTTTTAATGTTTGCGTGCCAATCCGTATTTTTGCTTGTGATGTAAACAAATACTTGTTGGGTATATACCACTTAGGGATTTCCTTAAAAAACAAACCCCCCACCGTGTGATGTCAGTGCTTACTTTTTGATTTATCGCCAAAAAATCAACTGAAAGTAACAAGTCCAGAAGAACGCGCCAGTTCTCACATCATTCTTGCGCTACGTCAGATTTTACTACACATGGTAAGAAAAATTTTTTTTTCTACACCAAACTTTTTTTGCTAAAACAATTTTAGCAAGATTTTTACAATACAGACCTGTAAGTTATATCACTTGAACCACTTGTTATGCGGAGCGAGCGAGACCACTTCCTTTGCATTTCGAATAAACGGATATTTATTTATACAGTCGCTATCTCGAACTCTCGACCGCTTTTTTTATTTCCCACAAAGCAACTAACAATGTACTCGATTTAGACGCTGGGTTTTTCTCCTCTTCAAAAATTACAAAAATCCCTCCTAAAGCCGCTGCTATTACGGTTCTGAAGCTAATTTAGAGAATGTACTTTCGCGTCTTGTTTATTGAACTTACAACGATAACCACCGTGACGTGTCACTCGTTTCGCGTAATTATGACTTGTTTATTTTGCAACGCACATTTTCTTTTATTGTTTGTCGGCGAATATTAATGTATATAACATAATTGATTGAATACTGATTACAACTTTTCTTACTGCGAATATCAGCTTGCAATGTAATCCAACCAAGAAGAGTTTTAAAATACTTTATGCACTAAAAATATTACTATAAAAACACTATACGTGATTTATCATAGAAACGTTTTTTGGCACAAAAATTTATTTTGTAATAAACTTTTCCAAAGTGTTCAAAATTTCTGGTCCATCATATATCCTGAAAAATGCACGCCAAGAACAATGGCAAAAATTTAATGCGCATAAGCCAAATATTAACAAAAACAAATTATCATGTGCAAAAGTAAATTAGCATGTACAAAATAATATCATGGATAAAAACAATAAAGTTAAATTCCCGTTTGGAAAAAACTTATTATTTAGAAAAACTCTTTGGCAAATAGTGTTGTTTGAAACGAACCGGTAGTATTATTATGCCATACATCAAGTAATTAACATTATCAAGAGATAGTCGTTGAGATAAGTGATTCTATCTGTTAGATACGCTAAGTAGCTTCTCTTGTCAACTGTCGCATATTAATAAGTTAACTATTTGGAATGCATGGATTCACGATGCATTGATGGTTTGTACGATTTCTGAAGAGAAAAATATACCAAAAAATAATATTTGCCAAATATTCCGGAATGAAATAGAAAAATAATGTGTAAAATTGTAAAAATGATGAATATTTAAATCGTTTACTACATCGCAGAAAGTTAGAGGTTCCGAAGTCCACAAAAATCCCACTTATTTGATATATCAATAAAATCTACAGCTGCCACTGATTTTTAAATTAATGAGTAATAAAAATTGAATAAACTTAGCAACTTTTATTAACACTAAAAAAATAATTATAACCATCTGATTTAATGGTTGTGTATACTCTTTATTCAAATTTCAACCGCCAGTCTTTTCATTTTTTAAGAAAAGTTAGTTTTTTTTCTAAGTGCTATATGTCAACTATTATATAAAGTTATTTCGTTTGGTCCAGTTTGTATTTAAGGCCAATTGTAACTTATTTGCTGCAACTAATTCATTTTCTGCAACAGCCAAGATCGCTGTGTCATCCGAATGTAGCTGTTAAAGTTTCTGGTACTTACTCTACACATTCGATCTTGCCTATATTTTAGACATGTCAAGAAAAATCATCACCAGTGTGGACTTATGACAGTCAACTCTGGGGTTGTACCACTCAAAGCAATCGAAATATTGTGCAAGCTTTCTAGAATAAAGTACTCAGAGGAATTGTTAATGGTACATTCGAAAAGACAAACTGCGCAAGGACCTAAAAGTGGAAACTGTCGACAACCTTCTCAAATAATAGAGCCTTCATCAGCACACCAACGTTGGAGCTTTCCAAAGATAATTATAATTGAGTTAGAAAATTTGAAAGAGTACAGTGAAAATTAGTATTACAAAAATGAGTAGCTAGTTAGCGGTGTCAAAAATTTTGTATATAGTTATTATACATGGTAAATTGTTGCAGTACATCGATGGCTTATATTTGTAACATTTGATTCATGTTAAAAGGAATTGATATAATGATGTTGATTGCTGAAATATATCGATCGTTTATCTTTGCGTCATTGTACTAAAACGCGTTAAAGTGACTTACCCCAACTGAATGTAACCTTCAGATACTCTATACGTTGTCTTATGTAGAAAGCAACAGACGTTAATGGCTAAAACATAGATCGCTTAACTTTCATCATTCAATTAACTTGTTAAAGGTAACCCAAGTAAACCGAACCCTCGAACTCAGTGAACTTTAGTTTATGTGAAATTCAATTTACATGCAGTGGCAATAAAAAGATATTTCTTCGTAAAAATAAGTATGGAATATTATTAAATGAATTAATACGTAACTATTAAAGTAAAATAAACTGCATTGTTGCCAATATAAATCAAAAGCGATAAAATTTATTTAAAGATGCGTCAACTATCAAGTATCAAGTAAAAATTGAGATGTAGAAATAATGAAATTTGATTCCCACGTGTAACCAAAGAAATAATGAGATTAAGCACATTGTTAACGAATCGATAATAACAATTTTTATGCCTAATAAGCTTCATAAATGTTTTTTTAACTTGTTGTTTTATAATCTTCAGAGCTATTATTAATAAATAAATTGGTAAATAGGAATTGTTCGCAAATTAATTAAAACTTTACTTGAAACTCTATTCAAACTTCTCACAATTGAGCTTCAAAGCATTCCATATTTACTCAAAATTTTAATTAAATTTTCTACAATATCGATAACCTTATTAAATCATTTTTAAAATTTGGAATTTTTTGTTGCTCATTTTATCTTATAATATAGTATACCTATTAATGATATAGAATAATAATGTTACAAGTTATATTCACATTTATTTCATTGAGAGTGATCGCTGAATCAAATGGACATAGCACAATTAATTAGCAACTGGTCTAATATTTAGTGCTCGTATGCTATAGATAGTAGATATCCGACCATTACTAATTGTAAAGGACGATCGTGTCGGTTGAATTGTGGGTTGAAAATCAATTAATTTTAACAAGTTGGTGTTTCAATCTTGCGTTATGATTTATAGCTATATTCATTAAATTTGATTATTTTGTGGATTTATTATTTAAATGTTTATTTTTTTTGATTATTCTCTTAATAAGAAAAACTTTTATTACCTCATTGTGTTTATAATTAATTCCGGAGAAATACGCAATCGAATTGATTTCAATAGCTCAAATAGCTTAAATGGTCGAAGATATAAAAAAATTATTACGAAAGCTTTTAGGCTTTTTTCGTTTTAAATAATAGATTCAGAAGTTATACAAAAATTCCCAAATTTTTCGATTACGATTTTAGTTATTCGTGATAATTTTTTTTTTGGGAAAATTAGTCGTATTTACCAGGAGTTCAATGGGAGCTCTGCACAAGAGTTTGAACGAAAGTTGCTAAGGACCAAAGTCGTAAAATTAAAATTTAAAAAGTTTTACAAGATTTTATTCTGAAGTTTTAACCCTGCACAGAAATAGATATTTTAATCTTTATGGTTGTAATAAGACCTCGATATAAGAGAGCTCCTTGGAACGATCTTCGGATATAACGGACAAAATATTTTTAAATCATACTATCTATTACTATCTATATATTTAAATATAAATGTTAGCGCTTATAGATAGAATCCAACTTGGCTTATTCTCAAAGTTGTATTATTCCATGGTTATAGATAATCTTGGGTTATTCCCCGAGTTGTCTATACGATGTATAAATCAAGTATCGAAGTTTTTACTGTTATAAGATTTTCTTAATTAAATTATTAAAATATACAAGGAAAAGGGAAGTATTAAGGCGTACATCAGCATCTATCAGGTGGTGACATAAAGAGATTATATAAACGACGTTGAGTGTGTATTTAGGCCAAGGCGTTCTTCCTATGTAGATTCACAAACTGTTGGCATTATTTTTTTAACCCACTGTTTGTTGTTGCGTCAATCATGCTGACATAATCTTATTTCACTATCACTATTCGTATTGTTCGGTACAAAAAATATCTCCTTATGGATGTGAACGAAAAAAAAATTTGATTTCTTACTGCATTAAAATACCAAGTTGTTCGACCTTGCGGATGTTTTAAATTTTAAGTTCAACATTAATTTGTTGCTTTTGAAAACTAGATACTGGTATTGTAACAATACGCCGTAAACAATTAAACATACATACACGAGTTTAAAAATAGCTTGCTTTTCGCTACAAATTACGTATTACGAGTGTATTATCGCGAATAAAATGCGCTAGGTACGCGATAAACTGCACAACAGCTTGTTTATAAATAGCCCGGAAATATGTAATGTACATTCCATGATTTATTTTATTTTGTTACTCCACGCGCTATTTTTTTACGACTTGGCGTCCGATTGAGATGTTAATGTATGCAGAATTTTTGTGTTTACTGTTAAAACGTTGAAGAATGTTTTTTTTTTAATATGAGTTATCTTAAAAGGTACAATTTATATACTAAATTTTTCTTATTCAGCGTCAGCAGAATTCATCTAAATCATTATTTGATATCAAAAATTCTGTCACGTCAATTTTGTTTTAATTTTATCAAAACATTGCAAAATAAACATCGAAATTCAATTTAAAATAAACGTATTTTCGCGTTAGCAAACATTTGGTTCCATTTCTTATAAATTTATTCCATACAAATTGATTAATAAATTTAAATCTTTTTTTAATTATATTAATTCTCATTAGTTTTTATTATTTACTCCCATCTTTTTTTTGGGGGAATTAATACTGAAATGAAACAATGGAATATGAACTTACAAACATAATTAAACGTTATCTTTTTAATTGTAGTTCACTCCTAATTACAGCGAAGATAAAACAAGATAATACATTGTATATCTTAAACTAACTAATTCATGATTATATTTAAAAATATTTAAGCGTAATAAAATACAAACCAATCAATCAAATCGCAAAGACATCATTAGTATCGATTAACTAAACATGTACCTGAATCGAATGCATTCGTGATATCAAATCGTTTAGATCTCATCATGCT